TTGTGTTATATTTTATTTCTTGTATTTAACTATGAGTTGCTTCGCTCTCTTACTTGTAATCCATATTGTGTAATCAGGAAATATGTGTAATTGTGTGCTCGTGGTGGCAACTAATGACAACTCTATATGATTTTAATGAAACAACAACAAGTAAAATAATGATATAATACAGAAAAATGTGCAAGGAAATGCAGGTATTTTTAGGCGTTATTTTATTTTTCTTCAAACTCGAGGGGTCCATCCCCCCCCTCAAGCACCCCGCGTCCCCGCTCCGCAGTCACTAACACGGGCGTAAATCCCGGGGGGACGGGGGAATGCATCCCCCTGCTCTTTGAAGGAGGGGGGATGGCTGTACAAATATCCCCCACCTGAAATTCAAAAAAAGAGAGAAAAAAGAAAGAAGGAAGAAGAAGAGGTAAGAGGATCGCCGAAGTTACCAGACAGTTTATCAGCGTGGGTTTTAGGTGCTACAGTTCAATGAGGCTGCCACACAGTCGGAGATTCGTAGCATTGGCAGAATTGGATTGCAGGCGCAACACATATTAATGTTCATAGACTTGGTTTTGTTTACATCCGTGAGATTTCAGAAATTTCACCGATTCTTACTGCATCTACTCTACTATCAACGCAGCTTTTATATATAGCTAGTGTAGGCCTATGCACGTTTGTTCGACTGTCAACGTGCATAGGCAAGACTTGTAATGTACGTAGTATGGATAAGTACGTTGATTCACTAAACAAACTCACACAGCACAAACACACACACCTCTCTCTCTCTCTCTCACGCACGCACACACACGCACGCACGCACGCACGCACACACACACACACACACACACAGCACAGTCACAATCACGCACAGCTCTCTTCTCTTCACACACACACACGCGCGCGCGCACCCACACCTCTCTGTTTCTCTCGTGCTCTCTCTCTCTCTTTCTCTCTCTCTCTCTCTCTCTCTCTTCTCTCTCTCTCTCTTCTCTCTTCTTCTCTCTCGCTCGCGCGCTTCTCTCTCTCTGCTCGCGCTCTCCTCTCTTTCTCTCTTCTCTTCTTTTCTCTTCTCCATCATCCCTCCTCCCTCCTCCCTCCCCCTCCACCCCCCTCTCTCTCTCTCATTCTTCCTCTTCTCTCTCTCTGTCGCATACACAACACAAACACGCACACCCCTTCTCTCTCTCTCTCACACACACACGCGCGCACGCACATGCACCTCTCTCTCTCTCTCTCTCTGACACATACACACTCCCTACGCAAGGTTTACGTAAATTTTATCTTGATTTTAATTCGCCCACCTACAAAAACCATCGCACCTCGCTTGCGTACGCGAAATCGTACGCAAATTTACTAAATAACTGCGTTGATAAATCGCAACTAAGCAACGTCGATTGCGTACGCACACAAGATTTACGCAAAATATTTTGCGTACGCAGCTTGATGAATCATGAATCTACCCCCGGGACCCCACCCGTCAGTGCAAGCGCACACAGTATCAGAGTCTACAGTTTCCAGGGGCGTGTACAGGGGGGGTCCAGGGGGTCCGGACCCCTCATGCTCGCGCAGAAAACGCATCTGAGGGGTGCTAATTTCAAAAAATTTCTGGGGGAGAGCACCCCAGACCCCCCCTTCGCGTGCTCCTAACACCCCCCTTTCGAAAATCCTGCGTACGCCACTGACTGCATGTGCCATATTTCATATCCATTTGGTGGTATACGTACGCCTACACCTAGCTGTAGTGTACACCAACAGCTAGGCGCGCCACTCTCACAGATGCCCCAAATGTCGCAGCATACTCGTGGATATTGGAAACGGTATATCGATCTATTTATCCGGACTTTGTACAATTTCATAACAATGCTGTCACTCTTTTCGTTTTCTGAAAATATAATGATCACACCTCTATGATTATACCGCAAATACCTGTTGTCCATTCGTCCCTTTCTTCATTCAACAATACCAATTGATATACGTCTAATTAACGTTATCTGTCGCTATTATACACGCACTGACAGGTAACATTAAATCCTTTGCTCCTAATTTGCCCTCAATGACTGCCGCCTATAGGTCCATTACATCAATCCAACACCCGTCCATTGGACGTGTCCTTTGCTAGTATCTTTGCTAGTATCTTTGCTAGTATCTTTGCAAGTATCGAATATGATACCAGACTCCCTTTTACCTAGCCGTTCCTGTGTGATATGTGGCAGTGAGTTACAGGCATATACGTACCTCAGCATTCAAACCCGATTACATCATGCTGGCTGAAGTAAATCAGGATACCGTATTCTAGCTGAGATCGTATATATAGTGACCGTGACTATCCGTTGGATTTAACTCTACCCCTCGCTCCCGTTACAGGACACACATATATGATTCACTTGCGGGAGAGAAGGGGCAACACTGCATGGTAGAGTATAGTGGCGGATGCAAGAGGGGGGGCGCAACAGGCGCGCCTCCCTATGTTTTGCCCCGCCCCACCCTATTCGGCACGCGAAGCGTGCGCACCGGCGCTATCACAAAATCTGCACCTCTAAAATGAAATCCTGGTTACGCGGTTGCCCCCCCCCGCGCTATCTTAAAATGCTGGATCCGCCACTGGCCCACTGGTAGAGCTAGGCGGTACTCAAACCCTAGATTCTTAAGCCCAAAGTAAAGCTGGGTTTACATTATCAACTTATACTGTTGAGAAGTGATGAACTTGTCAACTAATCGACCGAAAATCGGTAGTGTAAACGCAAAATTTGAGCGCGCTCAACCAGTTGATAGCAACTATAGTTCCATTTTCTCAACTTTTGGTAATCGCGTTGATCAAGTTTTTGCCGCACAACCACTCTGATAATAGCAAGCAGGAGGTGTGTCCCTCCACCTAGAGATATCTAGGTCGATATCTAGGAGACATCACGCTATCGGCGCCACCTTGGCGCAAATTATTACGTGCAGAAATGCGTATCCGCGTCGCCCCGCGCGCACACTGCGGTTCAAATGTTGAAACGTTTGCCGACTCGCGGTCGATAACGTAAAAACATCGAACTCTCGATAGAAATTAAGGTTGATAGAACATTAAAAAGTTTATCAACTCATCGCCTTTTCCATAGTTAGTTCCATTTTTTAGCTTAAATTGACTACGTCACGAATTCTCTACATGGTGTATATTTGTAAACAAAATTATTGCAATTTGTTTACATTATAGAAGTAAGTACTAACAGGACTAAATGTATCCTCAAATTCTTACCTGATAAGATTGTTTCTCAACTAGTTAAAAATCCAAAAAACCTGGGCGATTTGATATTATCATAATTATGCATACATGTATGAATCACGCGTGTTTGTTCACATAGAATGAAATCTATAAAAATTAGTATATATAATGCAGCAATTTAACCATAAAAAGTGAACAGAATCACTTACATTTTGTGAAAAAATGGACACATTTTTTTACTTTTACGATTTACGGTGACGTTAGCACTTTAAAGCGCAAAAATGCGTATCCACGTCGCCCCGCGTGCACACTACGGGTCATATGTTGAAACGTTTGCCGACTCGCGGTAGATAACGTAAAACTTTCAACATTTGATAAAAATTAAGGTTGATAAAACCGTCTATACCGGCTAGACCGGCTAGAACCGGCTAGACCGTCACTACCGGACAATAGTTTTAGCGGAAGTGAAGGACGCAGGTGCGCGCAGATTTTTTGCCCAAGATTTTGTGGATGTTAACAATAACACCAAAAAACACCTTATCACCATGACGTAGCACAAGATAGGCGAGATGCCAAATTGCGTATTGAGGTACGTGGGGTGGCGTATCTCCTGTACTTTAACGAACGAACCTATATGTATCCAGTACACATATTCATATAGACGAACGAGCGTACATATATGAACTTGAAAAGTAGACGTAACAAAATATCCTTGATAGGTGTCTCGTGATTTCAAGAGTAGATAAATAACAGATTATTATCTATATTTATACCGTTATCTTATCTATACCGTTATTTATCTACTCTTGGTGATTTGTAATACCGGTGTTAATAATAGACTGCGGAAACCTAAAATCCCTGTCGAGCCCCAATGCGTCACACTGACTCGTACATCAATGTGTATGGCGCATGTCCGCTTTCTGGGCGCAGTTTCATCTTTCGTGACGACCACTATCATCACTGTTGTTGGTGTTGATAGACACTAATTGATAGGTCTTGTCATTCATCGCTTTCCAAGGAGCGAGTACGCACTCATTTGTTAGATTGTTTTCTGCTATCATACAGATAGCGTATAGCGTTACCGTATAGGTTTCACTATGGTAGACAGCATATACCGAACACGGTCGCTCGGTGTTGCGTCAGAAGGTCTTCCCGATCAGTATGCAGATGGAAAGGCGGCCCGCGTGTGGGAATTCTACATAGGTCAAAAGACGTCACGGACGGAAAATTATAAAAATTTCCTCTGCTCATCTCTAAGAGACAAGGGCTGTAAGGATATTCTCGATGTTGCGTGTGGCACTGGGTAAGTGAATATAACCGAATTAGTCGCATATGGACGAGAAGGAATTTAATTAATAATTGTGTACAGTTATACTCCCATTACTATGATAATAGTATTAGTTATGCTGATAGGGTCTATGTCTCTCTGGCCCTGGGTACTGCCGGAACGTACCCTGGGTACGGTCCGGTATACCGGAACGTACCCTGGTATAACTATCTGATATGGTTAGCCTAGGTTTAGCTAGGGTTAATAGGGTTAGGGAGTAGGCATAGGCGACTTCCTAGACTCGTTAGTGGAGTAGGCGAGGTACGGTCCGGCATATTAGAGCGTACCGCTGAGGGTACGTTCCGGCAGTACCCAGGGTACGTTCCGGCAGTACCCAGGGTACGTTCCG